ATGTTTAACTATTTTGTATTCGTTACATTTGTTTATTTTTTCTTTCCTTCTTTTTTGCCTTGTTTTTTTGACAGGTTTTTTAAAGAGAAGTTTTAAGTTAGCATCAAAATTGAGTGGAATGTACAGATATCCTACATTCCTTGCCCTCACATGCATAGCCGCCCTCATCAAATGAACACCAGAATGTACATTTGTTAACAGTTGAGGAACCTACACTGGCACATCATTACCACCCAAAAATCAATAGTTTATCATTATATTTGAACAGTTATCTATTAAATCAATTAAGAATAAGAAAAAAAAGATTTGATTTTACCTTCATTTATTCCTTGTCTGATTGTCTTAGGCATTCAGGATGCTATAACAAAATGACACAGACTTAGTGGTTTATAAACAATACATATTTATTTCTCATAGTTCTAGTGGCTGGGAAGTCCAACAGATCCATAATCTGGCGAGAGCTCATTTCCTCTCTGATGGCCATTTTCTTACTGAGAGGCTTTTCAACTTGTCCATGGTCACATGGCAGTTAAAAAATGGAATAATGTTTTCATGTAATCCAGGAGCCTGTACTGTTTCTTTTATGCTTTGCAGCTTCTCCAAATGAGCAGTAGAGACAAAACATTCAGAGGAGTGTGAGCTCTTTAAGCTGGAGTAATTATGGAGGTTGTGTGCAGAAGATGGACCTTTTTTCACCTTATGCTCACTAAAAGAAATAAATAGTTTCTTATTAAATAATTGGTTTGCAATTTCTTAATAACTAACAAGATTGAATGTGTCTTATGAATAATAAATAGTGACCATACTATTAGATAACATTTATTGAGCACCTACTGTGTCAGCTACTCTTCTAAGTGCTTTCTATGTGTACCCTCATTTAATCTTCACAGTAACCCTGTGAGGAGCCATTTTATTACCCTTTCTTTAGAGATGACGATATTAAGGAACAGAGAGGTTAAATAATTTGCCAAAGAATACACAGTGAGTAACTGGAAAACCTAGACAATTCAAAGCCAGGCAAGATGTGTCAGGTATGGTTACCTCATAACCATCTCCTATTATTTCATTCCCTCTAATCATATCTTTGTCCATTAAAGACATGTTACGTGTATTCATTTTATTCCCTTTATTCCCTGTGGATTTGTAAAACATTTCATAAGTTGAGAATATTATCATTTGTCCCTCATATATGTGGAAAATATTTCCCTCAGTTTTCAATTTGTTTTAAACGTTGCTTATTTTTTACACTTAATGAATATTATTTTCCTAATCAGGTTTATTGAAATATAATTTATAAATATCTAGAATGTTTATCCTTATTTCTATGAGTTTTGACAAATGCATGCAGTCATGAAACCACCAGCACAATCAATATAGAACATTGTCAATACCCCCCAAAATGTTCCTTGTGCCCTCTACAGGTGATCTTACCCCTCATTCCCAGCCCCTGCCAAACTCTTATCTGTTTTCTGTCCTTTTAGTTTTATCTTTCCAAAATGCCATATAAATTGAATCATACAGTAGGTAGTCTTTTGATCTTGGCTGCTTTCACTCCATATAATGCATTTGAGATTCATCTGAGTTGTGTGTCAGTGGTTGGTCCTTTTTATTTTTATTTTTTTGCTAAGTAGTATTTCATTATATAAATGTACCACGTTACCTATCCAGTCATCAGCTGAAAGGTAACTGGGTTATTTCTTGTTTTTGGTGATTACAAATAAAGCCACTATAAATACTTATGTTCAGGTTCTAATGTATACATATATTTTCACTTCCCTTAGGTAAACACCCAGGAGTGAGATTTCTGGGTTATACAATGTGTATATTAATTTTATGAGAGATTGCCAAATTGTTTTCCAAAGTGGTTGTAGCATCTTGCACACCTGCCCACAATGTATGATTGTTCCATTTGTTTCACATCTTTGACAACACTTGGACTTTTAAATTTTGTTTTCTTGTTGTTGTGGTGGTGGTTTTGCCATTCTAATAGAAGTATAATGGTTTTAATTTGCATTTCCCTAATTACCAATGATGCTGAGCATTGTTTTTTTGTATGTATTTGCCATCCGTATATTTTCTTTGGTGAACCATCTTGTCATATTTTTTGCCCATTTTAAAAATTGAAATGTATGTTTTATTATTAAATTTGAAAGTTCTATATATAGTATAGATAGATTCTTTATCAGATATGTATTTTGCAATATTTTCTCTCAGTCTGCGGCTTTCCTTTTCATATTCTTTTTTTTTTTTTTTTTTTTTTTGGTTCACGGGCCTTTTACTTTTTTGGCCTCTCCCGTTTTTGGTGCCCAGGCTCCGGACGCGCAGGCCCAGCGGCCATGGCTCACGGGCCCAGCCGCTCCGCGGCACGCGGGATCCTCCCAGACCGGGGCACGAACCCGAGTCCCCTACATCGGCAGGCGGACTCCCAACCACTGCGCCACCAGGGAAGCCCTCCTTTTCATATTCTTAACAGTATCTTTGGAAGGGCAGAAATTTTAAACTTTATTGAAGTCCAATATAGTAATTTTCTTTCATGACTTTTCAAGCATGATGTTAGGTGAAATTTTTTTATACTTGACCTTTATTAGGATGAATAAATTCCTTTTTAAAAATTTTATTGAGATATAATTGACATATGACATATTAGTTTCAAGTGTACAGTTTTGCTTTAAAAGAACCAATTAATTACCTTTTACATTTTATACAGCTAGGTTTATGTATCTTTTCTCTTGTGGTTTATTCTAATACTTTTAGGCTTAGAAAACCTTTTTTCTTTTGCATTGCCAAAATCGGATCAAAGTTTATTGTATTTTCTTCTACTTTTTTCTTTCTTTTACATCATGTACATTGTTTGTATGTATTTAAAAAATTACTTTGGAATTAATCTTTCTTACATAAGATCTGTATTATCTTGCCCAAATAGCTATATCCTCATCCCAGGGCCATTTAGATTTGGATTTTTTTTCCTTTCTAACATCAGTTTTGAGCCCTTTCTTGGGTATGGCAAAAAATGACATAGAAATGAATTCATAGGCTGACTGCACCATATCAAAGTAGAAGCGAGTAGGGGAGCAGGGTCAGGGATGTGTTAGGGCCTCAGTATGTGAATTTAGGGTCATTAAAGGAAAGACTTTAGGTGATTATATAATGTAGAAACAATGGAGAATATAAATGTGTTTTTGCTGATAGAGATGGCCAATGCAATTTGTATTTTGAATTATTACATCATTCTACTTGTGCCTCTCTTTTATTTTTTTGTTTTTTATTTAATTAATTTTTTAAATTGGAGTATAGTTGATTTACAATATTGTGTTAGTTTCAAGTGTACAGCAAAGTGAGTCAGTTATACATATACATATATCCACTTTTTTTTAGATTCTATTCCTATATAGGTCATTACAGCGTATTGAATAGTGTTCTCTGTGCTATACAGTAGGTTCTTATTACTTATCTATTTTATATGTAGTGGTGTGTATATGTCGATCCCAATCTCCCAACTTATCCCTCCCCTCCTTCACTCCTTAGTAACCGTAAGTTTGTTTTCTACATCTGTGACTCAATTTCTGTTTTGTAAATAGGTTCATTTGTACCCTTTTTTTAGATTCCACATATAAGTGATATCATATGATATTTTTCTGTCTGACTTACGTCACTCAGTATGACAATCTCTAGGTCCATCCATGTCACTGCAAATTACTTGTGCCTCCCTTCTGATACTTAACATCTACTATATTTTTTAAATTATTATTTTTAATTGAAGTATAGTTGATTTACAATGTTGTGTTAGTTTCAGGTGTACAACAAAGTGTTTCATATGTGTATATATAATATACACACACATATATATATTCTTTTTCAGATTCTTTTCCCATATAGGTTATTACAAAATATTCAGTATAGTTTCCTGTACTATATAGTAAGTCCTTATTGGTTATCTATTTTATATATAGTATTGTGTATAACATCTACTATATTTTAATAGTTATTTATGTCTATAATAGCAAACTGAGAACAGATACTCATTGGGTCTGGTTTACTCTTCTATCCATTTCAGAATATGTTTATGGTGATTTTCACAAGGTAGGCTGTCATTAAGAGTAGAAGGAAGAAGACAAATAAATGAAGGAAGGAGAAAGGAAGAAAGACAAAATAGGTAAAGGTAATATGAAAGGAAAATAACATGGAGAAAGGCAGGGAGTCTAAGATATGGAGGGAAAGGACAGGAAAGTATAGTTGAATGGTTTGAGTGTCTTTTGTGGCAATTGAGTACATGAACATCTCTCTACTTCTATAAACACATCTTCTCTCCTTCATTTAGAGTAGTTCCCACTCATAGCACTTGGGGAAGTTAGTTTGGGAGAAGACTATAATAGTGAGTTAAACACCAAGCTAAGAGTCTTCAACTTCATCCTACAGTTGATGGAGAGTTTTAAAAATTCTTTGAACACAAGAGCAATTTAGGCAAAATGGTGCTTTTAGGTCTTGAATTAATTGGTTTTGAGGATGGAACAATGGAAAGCCTGGAAACAGGAAGACAGTTTTGGCCTTTTTTATACCCAAAGACTGACTTCCTCTTTTTGGCACAGAGCTAAGTTTCATTTCCCTCACATCTGGATAGGGCCTGTGACTGGTTCTCACCAATGGATAATGCATGGATGTGGTCATTTTCATTCTGAAGAAGCTAAGAGCAGATGTTTTTTCTTCATGCTTTTAGTCTAAACCCTCAACTGCCAGCTTGTTGATGCTAGGATAACCACGAAACTACATATTGAAAATGGGGAAGCCACGTAAAGAAGAAGATGGAAGCCACAAAAGTCATCCCTTGGAGGAGAGCCATCCACCATGAGGTCATCTGTGTTGGACTTTATGTGAATGTGAAATAAAAGTTTATGTTGTCAAATCACTGAGATTTAGGTGTTGCTTATTACAGCAGCTAGTGTAACCATTCTGACTAATTAAAGTCATTTTGACAGGGACAGTGTGTGGTGGTGAGGATGAGAAATGGAGTTTGAGCTCATGGATTGGAAAGAAAAACACAAATGGGCGAAGCATTACAGAGGAAAAATGGCAGAAGAAGGAAGGATGAATTCAAGGTAAGCCTAAACTCCTGGAGGAAATTGTTAGCAGAAATAACAATGTCCAGAAAAAAAGACTGTGTTGGGGGAAAGAATATAACAACTTTTATTTTAGATGGATTGAGTCTCATATATTATAGTATATCTAAATGTAAATGCCTGACGAATTAAAAAACGAGTTGCAGAAGTAAATTGTGTGCACATGTGTGCACGTGTGTGTGTGTGAGAGAGAGTGAGAGAGAAGAAAGAGAGAGAAAGAAAGATTGAAAAAATAGGGGGTGTAGGTCTCATAATAAAAAGGTAATAGATAAAATGGGTTCAAACTTACGTAAAGAAAGGCAACTAACAAAATCAGTATTTGGGAGTGGACTTACTATTTAGTATGAACAATAGAATAGCAAGAAAAAGTCTTATCTTTGCCACTAATTGTATCTAAAATGACCTTGGCCAAGTTTCTTAACCTGTTTGAGTCTTAGTTTCCTCAAGAGGGGTTTGGGAAGGACTTGAAACAGTTCTTCCAATTAGAATCACCCATGGGCGTTTAAAAGTCCACATGGCTGTGCCCCTTTCTCAGACACATTGAATCAGAGTGTCCAAGGTGTGGATAAGGCCAGCACGAGGCTCTTCCATGTTAGCTATTTCACACCCTCAGTGGGGAGCTGGGCAGCTTACTCTTGAATTTCATTTATAACAACTTTTACAAGCACAGTGTTTTATTCATCTAGTTTAAAAGTCTCACCCTTGAGTTGTGGGTAGGCCTATTTTCAAGTCTATCTTTTGGTCAAGAAGCTTTCTGGAACCAGAAGTCTCCTTGCTAATGCCTCCATCTCAGCAAGGCAATAAGTTACACTTAGCAACAAATAAGAGAGGACAGATGGTACTTGTAATAGTTACCAGTGTGAACTCTGATATCTGATTGCGGTCAAATCCTGACTCCTGCCCTTAAAAGTTGTGTACCATTGAAAAGTTACTTAATTTCTCTGGACCTTAGTTTTCCTACCTGTAAAATGAAACATGGTTAGAAAGTAACACATAAGATTGTTATGAGGATCAAATGAATTAATATATGCAAAGTGCTAGAACACATTAAGTGCTCCATAAAGGCTAACTATTGTCATTATTAGGTCTATAGACTCAGAACTCCTGGGGACGGGAGACAAAGTAGAGGGTAGAGTATAACATCTCTGACTGTCCTAATATCTATAGGTGTGATTCTGGGGGACTTTGGAGCCAGTTATGGGAGAAAATTTGCAGATGTACTACAAAACTGTAATCCTTCTTGCTGTTGCTATCTTAGAAAGATTTAATAAGACACCACGTTTTACAACCACCCCAGCTGAATAGCCAGGGTAGGGGAATTCCAGTGAAGTAGGGTAACCCCAAAATTGCCCAAATGTCTGCTTTTTAAAAGCCCTATTTTTTAAAATTGATTAATTAATTAATTTATTTTTGGCTGCGTTGGATCTTCATTGCTGTGCCCGGGCTTTCTCTAGTTGTGGCGAGCAGGGGCTACTCTTCGTTGTGGTGCGCAGGCTTCTCATTGAGATGGCTTCTCTTGTTGCGGAGCACGGGGTCTAGGTGCGCGGGCTTCAGTATTTGTGGCTCGTGGTCTCTAGAGTGCGGGCTCAGTAGTTGTGGCACACGGGCTTAGTTGCTCTGCGCCATGTGGGATCTTCCTGGACCAGGGCTTGAACCCGTGTCCCCTGCACTGGCAGGTGGATTCTTTTCTTTTCTTTTTTTTTTTTTTGCGGTATGCGGGCCTCTCACTGTTGTGGCCTCTCCCGCTGTGGAGCACAGGCCCCGGACGCGCAGGCTCAGCGGCCATGGCTCACTGGCCCAGCCACTCCGCAGCATGTGGGATCTTCCCGGACCACGGCACGAACCCGTGTCCCCTGCATCGGCAGGCGGACTCTCAACCACTGCGCCACCAGGGAAGCCCAGGCAGGCGGATTCTTAACCACTGTGCCTCCAGGGAAGCCCCCATTGACTACTTTTATATTAAAAACCCTGAACCACACATATATACACATATATATTAAACACAGAGACATAAATACATATTCAATATTTTTACAGCATTGGTGTTATAGGTAAACATGTGTTACGTGCTACTCTTTCTATGTTCTGTTACAGGTTCTTTGTACTACTGTTTAACATACCATATTTTAAGCATTTCCTGTGTCATACAATGAGCTTTAAAGCATCACACACATAATGGAACATAGTAATATGTTTATGTGCCATAATGTAAATATAAGCATATCACTGGGAACTTAATTGTTTCCAGTTAATTGATATACATCTTTTAAAAATAAATACCATATATTGGGGCCTCCCTGGTGGCTCAGTGGTTGAGAGTCCGCCTGCCGATGCAGGGGACACGGGTTCGTGTCCTGGTCCGGGAGGATCCCACATGCCGTGGAGCGGCTGGGCCCGTGAGCCATGGCCGCTGAGCCTGCACGTCCGGAGCCTGTGCTCCGCAACAGGAGAGGCCATAACAGTGAGAGGCCCGCGTACCGCAAAAAAAAAAATTAATAAATAAATAAATACCATATACACTAAGTCACTTGCTGCACCTCTGATTAATTTTTCTGATTGATTCTAATGGTAGAATTATTTCCTCAGGTAATGGTCATGTTTAGAGCTTATAAATATTGCAAATTGCTTTCTTTTATCAATTTTACATTCCCCCAAGCAATACATATTTCCCTTTTGATTCATGCTTATCCACATAGAGTAAATTTTTTTGCCATGAAAATTGGATTCATATGAATATTTTCCAACTTGCCTTTTGTTTTTTTAATTTAATTTTTATTTTATATTAGACTATACTTGATTTACAATGTGGTGTTAGTTTCAGGTATACAGCAAAGTGATTCAGTTATACATATACATAGATCCATTCTTTCTCGGATTCCTTTCCCATATAGATTATGACAGAATATTGAGCAGTGTTCCCTGAGCTATACAGTAGATCCTTGCTGTTTATCTATTTTATACACAGTAGTTGTGTATATGTTAATCCCAAATGCCTAATTTATCCCTCCCTGCCATATTTCTCCTTTGGTCACCATAAGTTTGTAAAAGCCCAATTTGTACGCGGGCCTCTCAGTGTTGTGGCCTCTCCCGTTGCGGAGCACAGGCTCCGGATGCGCAGGCTCAGCAGCCATGGCTCAAGGGCCCAGCCGCTCTGCGGCATGTGGGATCTTCCCGGACCTGGGCACGAACCCGTGTCCCCTGCATCGGCAGGCGGACTCTCAACCACTGTGCCACCAGGGAAGCCCAAAGCCCTATTTTTAAAAAGCTGCTGGACGTCATTCCAGCTGTAGAACAAGAGCATCATTTATGCTATTGCTTTGCTTACTGTAATAATTTTCAATATTGAACAATTCTGCCATTTACAGGTACTATTTGTTTTTGTATTTCCCCACCTCTAAGTTCATGATTCCACCCTAATGCTAGCTAGCCATTTCTGACGTGGCGTTATAAAAATTACTCGAATTAAACTGTATTCTCTCTATTTTTTAATCTGAGGATTTCTCAGTGCATCTCAAGGTAACGAGAATTATATGTCATAGTTTTGATGGAGTTTTGGGCAAGGTTTAATGATAAATTCGGTTAATGATGTTAATTGGGCAGAGAGATGTCTGAGCCTCGCTCCTCATGGATCTCTGGAAATTGGCACCAACTGTAAATGGGAGGAGAAATAAAGTCATAAAGCCTCAAATCAGGGCCCCAGACACTGTCCTTGCCTCTAGTCCCATATCCATCCCTTGAGTGGAAGAATTCAACAAACAAGGCAGGGATGAAAAGGCATTGAGTGAGGGCTCAACTTAGGTCTTAAGGGTGGACTTTACCTTCAGGGGAGATTTAGGAATATTAGATATAAATGATGACAAGATGTTTGTGTAGAACAAGCATCTTGTAATATTTTTAAAGGGTGGACATTGAAATCTCAAATGTACCATAGAGCAGATAAGAGGGCATATTTACAGAGTAACCAAGTGGCAAATTTTTACTAGTGAATAATGAACTTTGCTGATATCAGGTTATGTGGTTGGGTCTCAATCCCGATAAAGGAGTTTGCTGGGGTGTGTTAATGATGTGGACATGGCTCTTTCCAAAGTGATCATTCTGGAAAGAGATTTCCACACCTTAAAGCCAGTATAAAGGCTAGAAGTTGCATGGGCAGCCTCATTTGCTCCAGCAGCTTCTGCCTTTCAGGCAAAATGAAAATCCTTGTGAGTATTTGTTTATGTTTCTTTATACCCTTATGGTGGCTGCTTGCAGAGAATGCTCATATCTAATATGCCTTGGCTTTCAGGGGTCTCAGACAAACACTGCATGCTTCTAAACTTCTGTGATTGAATTCATGCTGTCTTTGGCAGGAATAATGTTGAATATTAATTTGTCCATATTTATTTGTCCATTGTCTGTTTCTTGAGATGTTTACTAAAAAATTACAAAGAAAAAAATTGGAAATATCTAGGGAACTTTAATTTGTAATATTTTGGTAATAATTCCTTATTATGAACTTTGGAGGGAATGTAGGCATTTTAGGACAACTGTATTTACTATCTAAAGGAGAAGTAGTGGGCTTCGCTGGTGGCGCAGTGGTTGGGAGTCCGCCTGCCGATGCAGGGGACATGGGTTCGTGCCCCGGTCCGGGAAGATCCCACATGCCGCGGAGCGGCTGGGCCCGTGAGCCATGGCCGCTGAGCCTGCGCGTCCGGAGCCTATGCTCCGCAACGGGAGAGGCCACAACAGTGAGAGGCCCGCGTAACACACACACACACACACACACACACACACACCAAAAAAAAAAAAAAGGAGAAGTGGTGATTTTAAAATAATAATATCCATAATAATAATAATAATGGCAGCCGTCATTTCCCAAGTGTGTACTAGGCCCTATGCTAAACATTTGCGTGAATCATTTCATCCATTCACTTAAGCAATTCTATGAGCTGTGTAGTATTGCCCCATTCTATAGGTGAGGGGACTGAGGCACAGAGGAATGTGATTTCCCCAGGCCAGTAAATGTGGGATTTAGTCTTGAAATTTCCCCATCTTAGGCTCCACTTACCATGCAATCATGGCAAAGTAATCCTGCCACAACCACTGCAGCTGATCCCAGCCCTGATCCCATTCTCCCATAGCTCCACATTGCGGTACTCCATGGATGGTTAGTTGACTATGTTCTGATCCAGAATGGAACTCCTTCCCCCAGTCTCTATCCCTTATTCTCATTGAGCTATTGAAGGAGAAAGCAAAATAATACCTCCCCGTAAGGTGTTAAAGACTGTCAGCTTAAAGAGTTGCCTCTCCCGAAGTATCTTGATTTTTTTAGAGGATACCTAACCCTAAAACACAAACCTGGAACAGTGGTATATTAATCATGGTGTTGGGTGAGGGGTTACTTGGGGGCAGGGGACACTTCCTGAGCTCTCGCTAATCATACCGCTAAGGTGGCTAGCCCTTCACCCACCTATTCAGACCTCTGTATTAGATCCATTAAACAGAATACATAGGAGTGTCAGAGGTTGTCCAGGAGTCCAGGTTGTCCCTATGCAAGTAGGCAGGTTGGACAGCTGCATATAGGTCCATGTTAGACATTCTACCCACAGTCACCAGCAGAAAAATGTTATTGGTGAGATGCAAAAGGAAGGAGGAAAATCCCACTGACAGGTCCTAAAAATATCTGCCTTCTCCTTCATCAGCAATTTCGATGACCGTGCAGTACACTGTGATGTTCAGAAGAGAGAACACAAAACTGGGATCAGCAGGTTGGATGAGTCTCTCATATAACTGCAACAAAATGTCAGCAGTGCCTCCATGTCAGTCTCACGGTCTGCTGGCCTAACACTTGTCTGATGGTATCACTAAGGAGACTGTGGAGGTTTTCCTTGATGTCAGCCTCAAAAGTTAGTCATGCCTCCAAGCATCGGATTTTCATAGTTTGCCTTTAGGAATCGATTGTATCTCTATCACCCATGAATCCACTTAAATCTGTCTTACTCTCTCAATCTCAAGGAACTAAGTAATTTTTTTAACCAAAAAAACAAAACTTGACTCCTGTATACTAAAGCCAGTGTGAATACCACTAGGGTCCTCCCCTTAGTAAAATGAGTCCTTCCTCACTGCTCTCACCTCCCCCAAGTTTTGTTGTTTTTTTTTTCTGGCATAAGAACTATGATTTCTAGAAGGTTTTGTTGTTAGGAAGGGTTGGGAATTTGGTAACAAAGGTAGAACCTGTGTCTGAAAAATAGCATGAACCCAACAAATGCCTGTCAAATGAATGAATGTGTGTTTCACATTTTGGAAGTGGGCTGTTGACCATCCATGACCTCCCACCAGTGTCTTAAGCATATGTTTTCTGTGATATTTGTGCTTGTCTTGTCCAATGTCACCTCATGTTCCCACCCTAAGTGACAGCCCTATTGTGAATAGATGTGACTGCTCGGTTTTTCAGGTGCTATTTCTGGTGGCACTGGCCATCTTTGGGACACAATCTCATGGATATGAGGTGAGTTGGTTCACTATAGACTTTATATCTTAGAGGTACTGGGAGAGGAAAAAGAAGATATGAGATAATGTGAAGGACAGTAGAGAGTCCACATGTCCTATGGGGGATGAAATTCCAGAAATAACCAGTAACAGAAACAATGAGGTTGATTATTTCTTTCCAATCACAATACCTTAAAAAACATACCCCATTGCTTTAAAATGTGGTTAATTTCATTTCTCATGTAATGCCATTGCTTTGCCCATATATAATGCAGTGAACTATGAGGAAGACCTTTGCATTCTAATTTTAGCATGGCCTTTTGGTCTGGGATGCCAGTGGAGATGTTTCAAGGTTCAGTCTCTTGTTTGAAGCAATAGAAGGCTTTACTTTGCAGGGAGGGCTGCCTTTCCAATGCACATAGTTTATGAAAAAAACATTATGTCTTTTGTCAATCTAGGTTTATAACATCATCAGCCCAACTGACAATGGTGGCCCTATTCAGGAGACAATGACAATTGACAATGAAAAAAATACCGCCGTGATTAACATCCATGCAGGATCATGCTCCTCTACCACAATTTTTGACTATAAACATGTAAGCAGCAATATTTTATATTCTTCAAGAATGCACTTCTAAAGGGTGGAGGGGCAGCCATTTATTGTGCATTTGAATTCCAGGATCTATCCTTGCAATTCTTTCACAATATCCTTCCTTCTGCTTTTCCCCTTAAATAATCAAGCAATGATTAAAAACCAAGCAAACAAAACCATTTCTAATTTTAAAATGTGATGAGACAGGAAGCATACAAATTCGCTTGACCTTTTCAGGTGGAAAGCACAATCATGTTGGCTAACTACAGGCTCAGAAAGTGCCTGGAAGACTGACTAAAACCCAAGGCCAGGCATGGCACACAGGCTCTCAAAAATATTCGTCAAATGACTGAATGAATGAAGTAGGGCTTCTAATACAAAAATTATACAGACAAAGAACAATAATGCAGCAAACAGTCACAAAGTAGCAGAAATCCAGAACAACTCTACACAGTTGACTATGTATATGCAGTAAATCATACTGCTTCTGGGAGAATGAAAATATCTAAACTAAAAACATTAAACTATTTCCAAGTTTCAGTTACTGGTATTAACAATAAATCTCAGGAAACTTATTCTGTCCTTGATTCATTTATTCTTTTGTTTGTTTTCCATTTGTTCCACCTGGGTGATGAGCCCACTTTCACCTATGGAGAGAACTATGCACTGGATATAAGTAGTCTGTAGTCCATTGCACTGGACATTTGAACGTGACTTTCTTCTCCTTTTCTTATAGAAACCTCCTCACTCCCTCTGCCCCACTGGTAGTGGGAGTTCCACGACACATTTGAAAGCATAGAGTCTTTGAAAGATATGCTTTACAAGGAAGTTGTGCTGAAATTCTTTTTAAGCAGATGTCAGGGAAATCACAAAAGTATCTTTAAAAAAAATAGCATGAGGATAGGTGAGAATTTGGTTAAAACCTCTACCACTATCATCAGGTTCAGCCTCAGTCAATTTTTGGATTTTAAGGACTGGAAATTTGTGAGAACTGAAAAATAGGAACTAGAAAGATTTATAATATTTGCACTCTTATAGGCTGTATAATTATTTGGAACTATGTACAGAAAATTCCACTCTGTATGAAGATTCCAGAAGGTTCCTTTTGGCTCCAAGGACCTCACCCTCCATTGTTCTTCCAATCTCAACTTCCTCCAACCCATCCTAATCCAGTCTTAGGTGGAGAAAAGATAGAAGATGGTAAAGGAGGGGAGGGGAGAATCAATGAAAATGTATGTGTGGTGGGTGTGCAGGGTGTGGGTATGTTGAGGAGAGCTTCTAAAGCATCACTGTCCAGTAGAACTTTCTGCAATGGTAGAAAGGCTCTATATCTGCATTTTCCAATAGGGAAGCTACTAGCCACTTGCGGCCACTCAGCACTTGAAATGTGTGATGGAGGAAATACATTTTAAATTTTATTTAATTTGAATTTAAATTCATATGGCCACATGTGGCTGGTAGCTAACATATTGGAAAGCACAGTTCTAAAGAATACCGTATTTACTCCAAATTGAGGAAAAGGCAGAACAAAATCAATAGAAAAGGACAGAGAGCGGCTTCTTCTCAAGCTTTCAAACCCCAAACTGTAGACCCAAAACATGAAAAGTGGGGCACACATCGTGGGTTTACACAAATTCAGAGATAGAAATGACAAGTGAAAAAGTAAAACGACTATGTAAAAGAAGTCGAATGGATAGAACTGACTGCAGCTTGAAAATATCACTACGCATGCTCAAGGCTTTCCGCAAGGCCCATCCTCACCAAGCTCAGAACCCAGGGAACTGGGAGGGGCAGTAACTGTGCTCTTGCTGCTTCAGGGCTACATCGCCTCCAGGGTGCTCTCCCGAAGAGCCTGCTACATCTTGAAGATGAACCATAAGGCCATCCCTGCTCTGGACCAACTCCAACGGTACATCTTTGAGGGGCAGGTAAGTCTGGGGTAACCCTAAGTACTCCCTGTTCTTGAGCCAGGGAATACTGGTGCCCATAGAGAAATGAAGAGGGTAAGGGGAGAAGATCATAATATCATACCTTATTGTGGCTATGGTACCCTCCACTTTAAAGCATCTTCACATTTATTGATTTTAGAGCAGGAATAAATCTCTTAGCTTGAGCTCCACCCTACAGCCCCCAATACAAAAACTTACAATAAATTCCAGTGTCTTTGTAGAAAGGACTAAACATTCTCTTCTCAGAGCAAGGCTTTAAGAAATAGTGATGGGCAGAAAAAATGAGTGATGATATCCAATGACACAATGGTGCAAAGAAATACAGCATAGTGAGAATAAACAAACACTGTGTGAGGCTAGGAATCTGAGATTTATTTCTCCTTTTGTGTCTTTTCATCGGGCACAGGATTCACCCTCTCTGGGTTTCATTGTCACCAGCTGCAAAATAACATTGGTAATAATGAGGTTTCTCTACAGACCAAGTGGTCAAAAAGAGATGATATCTTGAGATTCCTGACCACCTCCTGTTTAATAATTCAAAAGAGAAAAAGTCACAATTTAGAATAAGTTACACCGGATTATGTCAATTTATTTCATCCTATTCCACTCCTACTGATCTAGGCTTTGAACAACATGTTCTCCGACAAATACATCTGGGTCAAGTATAACCCACTGCAGTCTCTGATCACAGATGTGGATTGGTTCCTGTTTGGATCACCCATCAGGCAGCTCTGCGAACATATCCCCTTGTACAAAGGGGAAGTGGCTGAAAAGACACGTGAGTACCAATAAATCATTCCTTCACCAGATATTTTCTGACAGCTCCAATATGTCAGCCACTCTTCCAGGTGCTGTGTGAAATACAAATAAACATGAAACATGACTCAGTTTGGTTTACTTTGGGAATTAAATATCTACCATGTGTGGAAATAGTGCTAAATGTTAGGGAGAGACAGAAATGAAACAACTCTGCCTCCAAGGAACACATACTCTGATGGAGAAGTTAGTGACTTAAGACAGAAGATGGAATAAAAAAGATTCATGAGGACAAATGAAAAGCTATTGGAGTCTCTAAAGTACGGCATGGTAACTCTAGTTAATAATATGATATTGCATACTTGAAAGTTGCTGAGAGTAAATATTAAGCATTCTTACCACACACACACACACACACACACACACAAGTTACATATGTTAACTACACAAGGTAATGGATGTGCTATCTTGAGCTTTTACAATGTATATGTATATCAAATTATCATGTTGTACACGTTACATATATACAGATATACTTGTCAATTATTTCTCAAAAAAGTTTAAAAATAGTCTCAGGATCTAAGATAAAATTGGTCCAAGAAAGAGCAGGCAAAGTGGACTGACAGGGAATAAAAACTGATTCATGCAGGTAACATATGTCACTGCAGTCATTACTGGTATTTTTACACAAAATTGCTAAGTATGGCAGAGTGACAGAGTGAAAGAAAAGCTGGATCACAGATGACAAAGGTAACAAGAGAAATTCCTCAGAGTAGTGGAAGGTAAAGAAGAAAAGAATTAGCATTTATTACCTATCTATTGCCCAGAAAAAATTAAGATATTTTTACTTTTCATAAGGTCATTAGTACTTATAAGTAAAGGCATGCAGGCATGCCACTAATGCAGAATGTCATAGCATTAATCGAGTTGAGCCAGAGAGCACTTCTGGGAATTGTCAGTATATTTAAGCTAATATATTATTATTCTTTGCAATACAAGTATAGCTAAAATCTTGGGGAACATGAAATTACATGTACACCCCCTAGTCAAGACATTTACAAAAGGGCATTGGTTTGCTGAATTCTAGTAATTTCTTAATTCTCTTTCTTTAAAATTTTCTCCCCTTTTCAGATGATACTTGTGCTGAAGGCTGTGCAAAGGCTGGGCTCCTGGGCATCTTGGGAATTTCCATCTGTGCAGACCTTCACATTTAAGGCATCAGCCCACTGGTTTCATCTTTTCAGAGAAATACACGTTTCCACTCAACAGCCAAATTAAATTCTTTGTCAACGTCCCACAAATTTTGAGATTCAGTAGTAAAACATAAGTACGATATTTATAGATATCTGGGTGTTTTCTTTTCTTGTAAGCAGCAAAGGGAAGCCAAACAATGTTTATGTCAATATATAGAAGGAAAGAAATTGCCAGGATTTTAAGTAAAGTGCATAGTGTGAAAATTCCCAGGTAATATATGTGAGTCACATGCAGTCTGGTCAGCTATGTACAAGTCTTCAGTTTTGCATTTGACACTTAGACCAGCTGCCCATCTGTCCAGCCAACACAATGGGCAGCCTAGGTAGAGCAGGGGCTCAGGTGGCATTGACCTTCACCTAGTGAAGGGGATGGATTATTTATACCCTTATCAGACAACTTGACTGCTCAGGTGAAGAAAACTGTGCCCTCTGACAGAGCACCCAGCTTTGAGAGCCATTCACATAACTTTTAGCTCATCAAAGCAGTAGACTCAAACTTAATAAACACTATCATGATATATTTCATCCCAGAGTGAGGAGAGAGAGATAGAGAGGAACACACGTCACCCAGAGAAAGATGCACATTACTGAAAATCTTTACAGGAGCGAGGCCCTAACTGGGAATGTCAAGTCAATATATAGAAGGAAAACAATTTTTAATATTTCAAATAAATTGCATAATGTGGGCAAATTCCCAGATCGTATGGTTGGTTATCATATGGAGTAGTCAGCGAGTGCAAGTTCAGAGCAAAGAGGAACTACTTTAACAAGAATTTCTGTCTTCATCAACTGCTCCTATTCCTAACACTATACATCTACTCCTTAATAACCGTTAGTACTGGGCTAGGTATGCTGGCAAAACTACAATAGTAAAGAAAGTTAAAATAACTGAGCTAAATTCTGGTGGGGGTGGCTGCAATTTATTGTCTCATCTCACCATAGAAGGATAGGGATATTCTGGTCTTGGTTGGGTAGTTAGAACTAGACGCTTGAAGGTGGCCAGACTATATTTTTCCACTCTAAACGCTCTTTCTCTCTACATGTCTGCCTCAGGATCTGACACTGGCTTTCTCCATGGTGGTAAAACCAACATCACTCTGAGCCCCAAGGTCCCCATCTTCCTTGTGTCATCATCAGAAAGGAAATGGACTCTTAGTTCTAATTTCAGATTAGCTCTAATTAAAAAATCTCTGGAAAGGAGCCTCACTGAATCATGTGGGTACACGTTCTTACTCCTCTGGCTGGGGCTGGTGGGAGTGGGGTAGGGGAAGGGTTGTGATTGACAACTTTCTTTGGAATTTACTGCTTAGAACTGTGTTATCCTTATTAGTTTTTATAATATTATTACCATTTTAAAAGCAGAAAATTTAAAAAGCGAAACTCAGAACAGAACTTTGAGTTCTGCTTTTTCCTACCTCTGCTTTCCTTAAATCAGTTGACCCTGCTCAGTTCTGGTGTCATGCTGAATACCTATTACAAGAAGCAGGTGGAATAGGCCAGGCACATGCCTAAGAGGAGTGAGTCCAAATGTAAGCTAAAAGGAAGCTGGGGCTCCATTAAACCTTCTCCAGAAAGGAGCCCTTTCTTAAGGGTTGGGGAGGGAAGATATTAATTCTGTTTTTGTTTTTGTTTGCCTCAAGGTATTTCTAGTTTCTCTTTTGACTTCTCTTTGACCCAATGGTTAAGAGTGTGTGGTTTAATTTCCATGTACTTGTGAGTTTTTGTGTTTTCCTTTTGTTATTGCCTTCTAGTTTTATTGCACTGTGGTTGGAAAAGATTGGGAAAGATACCTGGAATGATTCCAATCTTCTTAAATTTGTTAAGACTTGTTTTGTGGACTAACATATGATCTATCCTGGAGAATAGAATAGCATAGAATCTTGTTCCCTGTGCGCTTGAGGAGAATGTGTATTCTGCAGCTGGTGGATGGAATGTTCTGTATATGTCTGTTAGGTTCATTTGCTCTATAGTGTAGTTAAAGCCTGCTGTTTCCTTATTGATATTCTGTCTGAATGATCTACCCATTATTAAAAGTGGGGTATTGCAGTCCCCTAGTATTATTATATTGCTGTCTACTTCTCCCTTTAGATCAATCCATATTTGCTTTTTATGTTTAGTGCGTTGAGTGCACATATATTTATAATTGTTATATCTTCTTGGTAAATTGAGCTTTTTGTCACTATATCACAACCTTTTTTGTCTCTTGTGACAGTTTTTGACTTAAAGTCTATTTCGTCTGATATAAGTATAGCTACTCCTGCTCTCTTTTGGTTCTCATTTACATTGAATATCTTTTTCCATACCTTCACTTTCAGCCTATGTGTGTCCTTAAATCTAAAGTGAGTCTCTTTTAGACAGCATAGTTGGATCTTGTTCTTTATTTATTTAACCACTCTATATTTTTTGATTTGGATATCAAATTTTTGAAACACAACACAACATCAAGGATGCTAGAGGAGATTATCTCTCTAATAAAGCTGGCCCAAGAGAGAAGGCATGATCCAGAACATGAGTGTGCCAAAGGTGTTTCTGCAGAAATCTTGGTGAGGCTTGTAGATGGGGTTCTTATTTCCTGTGACGTTTTGTTCCTCACAGTAAATGACACACAAATGGGATATTACTCAGCCCTAAAGAAAGAATGAATCTTGCTATTTGCAACAACATGGATGGACCTAGAGGGTATTATCTTAAGTGAAATAGTTCATACAGAGAAAGGCAAATATATATAATTTCACTTATGTGTGGAATCAAAAAACAGAACAAATGAACAAACATAACAAAACAGAACAGACTCATAGATACAGAGAACAAAAAGGTAGTTGCCAGAGGGGAGAGGGGTAAGGGGGATGAGTGAAATAATTGAGGAAGATTCAGAGGTACAAACCTCAGTTACAAAATAAGAGCATAGTATGGGGAATATAGTCAATTATAATGTAATATCTTTGTATGGTGACAGATGGTAGCTAGACTTATCATGGTGATTATTTTGTAATGTATAGAAATATCAAACCACTATTTTGTGCACCTGGAACTAACAGTGTTGTAGGTCAATTATATTTCAATTAAAAAATATGTAGACATTTGGAGGAAATACATCAAAATGCAAATTGTATCCTTGTAGAATGAATTTGGGAATGTTCCGTCCTCTTCAAATTTTTGTAATAGTTTGAGAAAGCTAGGTATTAGTTCTTCTTTTTATGTTTTGTAGAATTCCCCTGTGAAGCTGTCTACCCCTGGGCTTTTGTTTCCTGGGGGTTTTTTAAATTACAAATTCAATTTCACCACTGGTGATTTGTCTGTTCAGATTGGCTATTTCTTCCTGATTCAGTCTTGGAAGGTGGTATGTTTCTAGAAATTTGTCTATTTCTTCTAGGTTGTCCAATTTGTTGGTATATAATTGTTCATAGTATTCTCTTATGATTTTTTGATATTGCTTGTTGTTTCTCCTTTTTCATTTTTTATTTTGTTTATCTGGGTCCTCTCTCTTTTTTCGTTGATGAGCCTGGCTAAAGGTTTATCATTTTTTTAAATCTTATTTAAAAAACTGGCTCTTGTTTTCATTGATGTTTTCTATTGTTTTTTTTTTTTTGGTCTCTATTTTATTTCCTCTCTGATCGCTATTATTTCCTTCCTTCTGCTGACTTTGGGCTTTGTTTGTTCTTCTTCTTCTAATTCCTTTAGATAGTAGGTTAGGTTGTTTATTCGTTGAGCATCTTTATGATCATTACCTTGTACTCTTTATCAGGTAGAATTGCTTATCTCCACTTTGCTTAGTTCTTCGGCTGGGGTTTTATCTCATTTCTTCATTTGGAACGTATTCCTTTGTCACCTCATCTTGCCTGATTCTCTATTTTTACTTCTATGTATTAGGTCAGTTGGTTATGTTTCCCTGTATTGGTGAAGTGATATGTAGGAGACATCTTATGGGGTTCGCAGCGCACACCCTTCTGGTGACCAGAGCTATATGCTCTAGAGGTGTCCTCTTTATGGGCTGTGTGGGCTCCTCTCTTGTGGTGGGGTTGACTACCGTGGGCACACTGGTAGGTGGGTCCTGCACGCATGCTGGTTGGATGGCGGGTCTTGCCTAGTGCAGAGGTTGACAGCTATTGGTGGATGAAATTGGGCCCTAACATGACTGAAAGTGGCTGCCTGGAGGCTCCAGGGCTATTGCTGGCCTGCTAGTGGGGGTGCCTTTGGCTTGTGCTAGACCTCTGGTTGATGGGGCTCTGTCCCCACATGGCTGGTGGACTGTGGAGTCTTGGACTGCTAGTGAGTGAGGCCTGATCCCAGCATTAACAGGCTAGAAGGAGGACTTGAAACTGGTGTTTGCCAGCTCCAGTGCCCCTGTGGGAGCACAAGCTCCCAGAAATGGCTATTGGCAGCACCTATGTCCACAGGGTGAGTCCCAGTTGCCTCCTGCTTCTCCAAGAATTCCTCCAAGGTCAAAAAGTGCATCTGACCTAGACTTCTTTCAAATTACTGGGTTTTGGAGTGTGTGATATTTTGTGTGCACCCTTTAAGAAAGGAGTCTCTGTTCCCTACAGCCTTCAGGCTTTCCCAAATGCAAGCCCCATTGGCCTTCAAAGCTGGGTATTCTGGGGTCTCATCTTCCCAGGGCAGGACCTCTGGGCTGGGGAGCCCAATGTGGGGTTTGGACCACTTGCTCTGCAATTGTGATTATCCTCCTGTTTGTGGGTCACCTACCTGGGGTATGGGTCTTGACTCTACCTCATCTGTCCTTCCTACACATCTTGTTGTAGTTCCTTCTTTACATCTTTAGTAGAAGATCTTTTCTATTAGTGTTCAGGTCATTCTCATCAATAGTTGCTCTGTAAATAGTTTTAATTTGAGGGATGCCTGTGGGAGGAGGTGAGCACAGGGTCTTCCTACTCCACCGTCTTGGCCACTCCTATTCATCTATTGTTGATCAGAATTTCCTAATTTCTATAGCAAAAAAATCCACTGACTACTTAATTTCCATTCCCTATCCACCTGTTTCCTTCCAGCAGAAC